TGCCTTCCTTTAGGCTTGTCTTTATTGGGATTAGTAGCTTCAGACACAGCTGACATTTCACTGCTGTGTGCAGCACTGGAAAACTGATGTTCAGATACTTTGAGAAGAGGTGGAGATGGGGCAGTGGGAAGGATGTGCACCCTTAGCAGTTAATGCTCTTCTTCAGCTTCCGATCGCCTGTGCCAGCAGGTGCAGGGCATACCTGGCTTCAAGTGAGACAAAGGAGCTGAGTGAAGAGCAGTCTTGATTGCAGTCTTTGGGAGCTGAGCCCCAAAACTTTTCCATTCTGATCATGTTGCAGGCTGCAACTTGGACTTGTGTCACGTACACTAAGTGTGAAGAACCAGTGTAGGGCTGGCTGCTGGCAGGCTGATCATACTGTGCAGTTGGAGAGCTTGGAGACACCTATGCATCCGCATGGTTTTACATGTATATACACATACTTACAGTGTGGAGGGAGAGTAAGTATGACTTCATGTATGGATTCAAACCTACCCTTAGTTGACTCTTCACACAACCTCCTAGCATTTATTAGTGTAATAAAACTGCAGGTGATGTGAAAATATATTGTTTGACCCACACCTAAGGACTCTCAGGTTCACAATTTTTTTTTTTTTAAATTTAATTTTCCTGAATGTATTTGACTTCCTGCCTCATTGCAACCTCTGTTTGGATGGGCAGCTTACTAACTCAACACACTTCTTTTTTTTCCTCATAATTCCTCAGCACCCATTTAAGTTGCTGTTTGCATTGTGTGTTTTACAGCTTGGAAGTATTTATTTCTAGCAGGAATTTTACATCTTCTCTTTCTTCTTGGTTACTAGCACATTACTATAAATGTTCCTTGTTAAACAAGTTTATATTATCTTGTGTTGTCCAATCTCATACTTCAAAACAAGTACTGAAACCTGCAAGTCTCTCTTAAGCCCTTAGCAGCATTCAGTGAGCACCACTGTCTGTTTAACATCGGGCTTTGGACAATGAAAAACAGGATTCACATCTGCTTTTACCCACCTTTAAGAACAGAAATAAATGTCACACAGCTTTTTGCATCATCTTTAATCCAGGCCCTCTTTACTATTTGAAAACTAGTCCTGTTCACTGGAACATGACTTCCTGACAAGATTCCTTTCATTGGACCAGAAGCTTTAAATGCATGGGCAAGACTTGAAGAGCAGGAGCTAAAATAAACCAAATAATTTATTTTTATGTATTCCATCCCTCTGAGAACAGTTCATTGGTGGATATTTATCCCAGATGTGTATTCAGCAGGTTTCCTTGAGCTAATATGCATTAGGTGGTAGCTCCTTCTGTTTCTTTTCCCTAAAATGTATGTTAGCCTTTTCTAGGGCTGCCACAATTCTGCTTTTGTTTTTTAAAATGTATCTTGCTTTTTTGGATTGCCCAAACCAATACTAGATATTCACATAATAAAATCCGGAAGCCAGGAGATGTTTCTGCAGGGGTATGTAGGCCAGAGGGGGTTGCTCAGCCTCAGCAGCCTGCAAGGGCAGCAGTGGGAGCAGGGAAGTGCTGGGTTAGTTGCTGAGGGTGACGGATAGATTAGTGAGGATGGAGGTGAGGGAGTTCATGGTGGACAGCCTGGAGGTGAAGGGAGTTCATGGTGGACAGCCTGGGGTGAGATGGGTTAGATGTTGTGGGCTGGGAGACATTAGAGGTTACCGTGGGACCTGTCTCTTACTTGGGCATCTCTGAGTGACCCTTGCTTTCAAGGAGGGATGCACACAAGGGACTGCTCTCTGCTCCCCGGTTCCCTCATCCTGTCCTTCTCCCCACTTTCACCATTAGAAGCCTGCGTGGATCATTGCACCCTCAACATCAACGGATGTCTGCGCTGGCTCAGAGTTCTGCTCATGTAGATTCAAATACAAGGGCTGTAGGCTACGGAGGAGTGTTTGGAAAAAACTTGAGATAAAATGTGTTATGTCATTGTTAGTAAAGCTGCTTGCAAAGCCATGTAAATCAACAACACCTTTTTCTAAGATTTACTGAACTAAGTCTTGCAAACTTCAATAGGTGCTGAACAAATTAAAAATGACACTTTAGAGCAAATGATAATTTGCTTCTTAAAGTAAAGCACATGGGTGTTATTCCTGTGTATTTGGGGAAGGTTCTTTGATTATAGTAAAGTAAGCTAAATTTTTCCCTCTATTAAAGTTATTTTAAGATTAATTATTTCACTAATAATTAAATACTTAATTTATAGACACTTCAAAAAACCAAGCAAGTTTGTACTTAAGTCCATGTATAAGTTATTGTCATACATTGCTGACCACTGGTTGTAGCCTGCCTGGGTTTTAAATGAAATTCCACTGTAGGACCAGTATGAATCCATATGTAAGAGAGTAGTATTAATGATTACAAGTTTTCCCCTCTGATTCCTTTGCCTTATTGTAAATCTTTCTCTTTTTTTAATGTCAGAAATTGCATAATGCATAATATGTCTAACCTGGAGGGGCTTGGTGTTTGGTCATGTCGGGTTTTTATTTATGTAAAACAATTTGAAGACTGGTGATGCTGTAAATTTCAGTATTTTACTTCCAGTTTGATCATTCTAGAAATACCTAAAGCCATTTCCCACATCACAACTGAAGAGCTGTCATATTTATTTAACCAGCTACATCTGGCTTCCAGTAAATCCCAAATTTCAGTTTTTCACAGCTGTGTATGGATTCCCGCCATGCCCACACAATACAGAGGAAATTTTTGCAAAGCCTGGTTTTGTTTGTTGAAAGAAGTGTCATTTTTTGCAGAAGAGAGGATTAAATATTTTTTAGATCATGCCCTACCTCACAGATTCCTCACCCCTCTAGAGGAGAAAATACAGATCTTCTGGCACGGTCCCACTGCTGGCAGCACTGCATGTGGAAAAGGTTTTTTTAGTGGTGTTTTTTTGAGCCAGGCTGGAGATGATGAGGTCAATTGCTGTAGCAGCCAGTGCCAAGCTTTTAGCCACCAGGCCAGCAGACCATGGGGACCAGGAAAGTGTGGAGCCAGGCCCTCCCACCACCTCACAGCCCCCGGGGAGAGCGGTTGCCCTTGCCCCTGAGCAGCATTTTGGTGCACCAGGTTCAGACTGTGACCTCCGCCACTCGAATACCAGCATCCTTGGCCATGCAGCCTGTGCTTGCCTTGTTAATAACCTCCCTGCCCCAGTTTAAAAAAGAAAAGGGGAATCTTTTGTACGGTTTTTCTGCAAGCGTGTCACACCGGAGGGGAATTTCTTATGTTCACAACTAGAGAGCCCATGCTAGGGCTGCAGGCAGGAGGTGCCATGTACAGCACAGTCTAAATGCAAATTAAGCAGAAAAATACTATTATAAGAGTAGAGGATTACTGATAACAGCATAAATATTTTCTGAATATATGCAATTAATAAGACCCTCTCCAAGAGCTAACGAGTTGTTGTTAGAAGGTGAATGGAGAAAAGTCAGGCATGCTTCTCTGATTTTAGGAATTCTGGATTTTATTTATAATATGAGACACAACCCCCATTTCATTTAAAAAATGCAATAAACTTTTTTTCCCCAAGTCTGCCAAATCATCTGATATTTTAACTTGCTTCTGGTCAGTGTACCCTGACACTCCATTCTACCTGGCTGGTGAGAGTTAGAGATGGGCAGGGGATGAGCCGCAGCAGGCAGGGGAATGTGAGGAGCGCCTGAAGGAAACGCAGCGAGCAGCAGCCGTGCTCCCCTGCTGCCTCCCAACCCGCTGTGCGTGCGGCAAACCCAGACACCTCCATGCACAAGCTCATGCTCCAGATCCGAATTGCAGAGATGTGTCGAGGCGCTGGGGGGAGGCGCCTTCAAAATGGCATGTTAGGCAGGCACAGGAAGGAAGGGGTGGAAAATAGTATTACTGCTGATGAACTGCATTTTTACTGCTTAATGGTGTTTACTACGTGTGTGGATTCAGGCTGATGGGAAGGCAAACCTGTTCCCTGAGCAGAATGATTGGAGGCTGTCCCCCTGGAAGATATAGGCAGAGAGGTTTCTCTGTTAGCTTGCTGGCTAGTCTCACTGTAGGGAGTACAGAAAAGCATTTCTTTAAGTATAAAGGGAGTCCTGTCAGTGAACTGCAGGCACATGTACAATAAGAAGTGTAATCTGAAAGGAAAGAGTTAGTTAAGACATTACAAATACTTGAGGGAACAAGTAGTTTAAGCGTGACCATAAAGTATGTGAAAAACGTCCTGTCACTAACATCTTGTGAGAAGATAGAAGCTGTGTTGGAGTGGTTGGTTTTACTTATATGAATAAAATATGTATGTAATATTTAAGGCAAAGAAATTGCTCTGTGGAAAATTGAGTACAAGAAAATTCATATCTTAAGACGTATCTTGGTAATCTGTCACTACATGAGTCTGCTTTGAGTAGGTCTGTTTTAGGTGATAATTGAGTTCTGTAGGATGTGTTTCCTTTAATTAGCTATTTGCAGGAGGAGCAGGAGGAGTGTCAGTTCTTTTTCTCTGTTTTTCTTCCAGCTCTTACAAGACTGTATTAGGTCTTACATGCACGACTGCAACTTTGAAATAAACTTTTATATTCTCTAGTACTCAATAATTAATTTGGGACTATCTGTAGTATAAGAGCAGAACGGTGTATTGGCAAGATTCTGCTTGCGGTGTATTCAGCTTTCCTTTTGACATTTCACAGATTGGGAGGATGTTTCACAAAGTCCAATTTCTTAATAGGTTATTTTTCTGGTGTTTATGTAGGCTTAAGTTGAGCTGACTAGTTTTCTAGTGTTTTCATTTTTTCCCACTACCGGTGTATTTATCAGTTATTCTCTGAAGGACACTATATGATTTTTAAGATTGTGAAGTAGGCATGTTTTACTAACTTTTTCAAGGCAGAAAAAGTTCTTTTTTTAAAATGAGATTCACTCTTCTGTGATTTTTTTAATTTGAAAAAGCTTTGTTTTATTCCTTTTCGGTCATATTCACAGTTCAACTCTTTTGTTTTTTTTTTACACAGGAGCCCTTACCAAAGTAAAGGAGAGTAAGCGGCACGTGGAAGAGGGGAAAATGGAGCTCCAAAAAGCTGAGGGCATTCAAGAACGCTGTAACATTATTTCTTTTGCAACCCTAGCAGAAATTAATCATTTCCACAAAATTCGTGTGAGGGACTTTAAATCACAGATGCAGCATTTCTTGCAACAGCAAATACTCTTTTTTCAAAAAGTGACACAAAAACTAGAAGAAGCTCTTCACAAGTATGACAGTGTTTAATCTTTGAACTTCGATTTGCGGACTTCCCTCATCATGAACGTGACCCAGGCGGCAGAGCCAATGCTGCTGCTGCTGAAGAACTGTTGCCAGTGGTAGACAGTGGTACAAGGATGGTTTTGTGTTCACCTGGAACGCCGGGTTAATCTCCGATTATGTAGAAAGGAAACAGTTATAGGGCTATGTAGTAGAAAACAGTACCACACATTGTAACTAAGTTATACTCTGTATGCCTACACTACCATTGTAACTTTTTTGAAATAATAAGTATACTATTTGCCTTATTGCTTTTTGAAATATGGTATTTTAGTGCATACTTTGTAGACCTCAAAACCCTTTGGGTCTTTAAGGAAGCTGACTAGATAAAAGCGTGCTTCAGATGCCTTTTTACTTTCCTAGATTTGGATTTCCTAAATTCAAACAATTCTCTGTTTACAGACTCCTACTAGAGCAGCTATGTAATTCTGTGCCTTTAGACTCTATTTTTCCTTTTCTAGTAAGTCACATTTTTATGATTGATTGAATGAAGCGTTGATGCCTATGACAGGAACTGATTATGAAACCTCACGTTGACTGGAAAAATATTAGCTGCCAGCCAGTTTGCACAGCAAGGACTGTCTTATGACAAATGTTGGCTCAAAAAGGAGAACTTAAATCTATTCACACTTTCTCTGAAAATGGAGACTACTTGTTAGTAACTTGTTACATGTACACTAGGATGTTGAGCACATAACAGAAACACACCATTTAATTACCTTTCCAAAACGAGTAATACAGTGAGGGTTGGTTGGTTTTGTTTTTTTTTTTTTTTGGTATACAGCATTACTGTAAGTGGAAATTTGAAGAGCTAGCCTCATAAAAAATGATGTATATCAAGGGGATATGAATGCAAGCTATGTAGCTGGAATATTTTTTTAAGTTTGAAATGATCTACTCATTGTTCAGTTGCTGATTCAGTTTAACTTCAGACTTGCATATACTTTGACAGTTATCTGAGTTGAAGCTCCACTGTGATTCGTTAGTTTACTAAGTTACAAATTTTCAGGGATGTTCAGTAGTATAAATGATCTGAAATAAGTCTTGGCTGAACTACCTTGGAAACAGGTGACATTTTTATGTTTGTAACACACAAGAATTAACAATTGTCTTAATTTTTGTATAAATATTTTTGACAGGGTGCATTTATATATATGTAAACACTATCTTTTAAAGAGGCTTCTGGCTTATTTCCTTTGAGTTAAGTCCAAAGTCTTGTGTTTCTTACCTATTGTTTTCCTTCTTACAGGTCAGTATGAAAGAGGGTTTTTATTTATCCTGGTTTTTTTCTCCTAAGCAAAAATAACAAAAACTTCCAAGGAAGCAAAATGTTTACTTTTTTGTTTTTAATTAAATTAATCAAAGATCGCTTAAACAAATGAAAGCCTGGAAAAGGAAGTTAAGCAACAGTTATGTTTAAGTACAAATCATTCCTCACCTATGCAGCAAAAATGTGCAGTTCTTTTGCTCCGTCATGTGAGTTTCTGTAGCCTAACCACACACCTCTGTTTTAGAGGAATAAATGTAAGAATGTACTTTTGGTTTTAAGATTCATCCCCAAATGCTTGGAAATTGCTATTTTGTGCAAATTGTGTTTGGCAGTGTTTCTAGTTCTACCCAAAGAAATAAAATACAGAATAATGAATATGAAAAAAAAACAAGCCAAACAATATTTGCAAAAGAAGGGACAATCAGTGAGGAAAGACTCCATTTCCAGGCTATTAAAAGAGTGCTGCAAACAACAAGGTTGACCATAAAATAAGGACCATAGTCATAGGGCTGACTTGCTCTTTATCTTCCTCATGGTGTCCTGATCTACATTCAGAACTCACCACTTACCCTAACAGCTGTTCCCAGCAGTGCTCCAGCTTCCCTTATGTCACATAATTATGTGAGGTAGTGACAAGGTTTGAGCTGAGCTCCCTGGCTTATGTTTACTTAAGCCAGATACTGTTCTGTTAAATGTCTTTGCAGTAATTAGATTGAACTACAATCAAATTAATTCTATGTGGAGGTAGTAAGACCTGTTCAGAAATTGATCTTGGTCCCATTGAAGTATTCTAGGAGGTTAGTATTAATGACATGTAGATGTCCGGGAGAAAATTAAGCTGTGATATGTATACATACAACATTATCAGACAGGTACAGTTTCCCAAATAAACTGTCATGGCCTTGACTTTGCTTTCTCATTTGTGAATTTTTGTGGCAGGGGAAAGTGGGGTTGCTAATTGGTTAAACTTGATGTGCCAAAAAAGCTGGACTACAATCCTGGGTCTGAATTGTTGCGGAGTTCAGAAAGGTTGAGATCTGCATCCATATTAGCATCTTCCTTTTTCCCTCACTCATTATAGGGTTGGAGTTAAACTGATGTAGGGAGCCTGGACTCCATTAATGATTACTGCACTATGTGAGAAATACAGTTTTAATTTTATTTGGAACGAGTGTGACATTGGGTGCTCATGACTGACAGGCTACTGGATGGCATGGTCTGAGATTGGTAAAGTGAATGTATATTGTGTGGGACTTTGGAAGCATCAAGGGAAATCTAACAGAATCCTTTTAAATAAATAAATGTGGAGGAAAGCAAATTAGCTCTATAGCGTAATGTTAAATGCCTTTGTTTTACTCCATTCCTGTAATCTGTTTTGGTTGCATCACAATTTTTGCATTGACAGGTAGTAAGTATCTGGTATACTTGTTGGGGTTTGGCGAGGTTGAATTGAAAGCTGCAGGAAGATGCATTGATTTCTGTTAAAGTGCTGAATCCAATTAAAACTGTGGAATGACCCTATCAGGGGATATACCTACTTAGAATCACCAGCAAGTGGAGTGTGAATAATGTTTCTATTCAAATTGTAGGGTTTATATTTAGAAATTAACAGTGCCAGTTTCAGTTTCTTGGGCAGTTTCTGGTCTAGTTGTGAACACCGGAGCAATGTTGCAGAACATCACTTGCAAAATAAGTGCCAGAGTCCTCCAGTGCCATCCTGGCAGGGCTCTGACACGTTCTGTGGCTTTTGTTTTGCTTCGCTCAGAGAAATGTTGCAGGCAAGAAGACTACCCTAGTTGCCAAGTCAAAGAAATCGAGGACCATGCTGCCGACTTAATTGCCTTGTCGAGTCTGTGCCAGTTTTTATCTATCATGGATAGATTTCACTTCATCCAATTATAAGAAAAATAGGAAGGGTTTTTCAGAGCTCGGTAAGTGCGGGGAATGTAAGCAAACATCTTGTTTTCTTGCATCCTTGTTCAGGATTTATGAATCAAGCTGTATCAGAGGGGAAGTCCCTGCTGTCAGAGCGTTGTACCAGTTCCGTGTTGTGTCTGTGTCTAGCTTCAGTGTAGAAACACAGTCTGTACACTAGATTCATGCAAACAAGACTGAATGTGCTAATGAAGTATTGCTAGACAGTAAGGACAGTATGTCTACTCAAGCTCAATTACCTTCTTCAGCAGAGTCTTTAATTTCAGAAATTTAGCATATGCATTTTTCTTTTTTTTTTCTTTTTTTTTTTTCTTTTCGCCTTCCCACTGTCTCCCTGGGACTCATTTGTGAAGAAGCACAGGCTCTCGGACAGCTTGAGCTGTTCCATAAGCAACATCCATTCACAAGCTGTGTGACAAAACGCAGCTGGATCTCTGCTTTGATTAAGGTAAACAATGTGTCAGGGTGCCTTTAAGCTGAATTTTGAGGGGCATGAAAGTCAGATGGAAAATTGAAGTTGTGATAATACACATTAAACCCTGAATACAAACGTGGCTGATGCATCACCCTGCAGCGGTGGGCAGCTGGAGCTGTTACTCTGTTCTGCCTGTCCTTTCCTCCAGGTGGTGGTAAGCAATGACACTTCGAACAGGTAATTCTCCATGCTTAGCTGTCCGTACCCCTGCAGCACATGCAGTGATGAAGCGTGGGTGCTGTAGTTCAAGAACCCATTGCTCACGCTTTGAACCATAGTTAATTAAGGAGTGTGTTTGGCCAAAAGCGCTGAGCAATATGCATCCCCATACCTGGGGGTGGGGAGGAAAGAAATTTAACTGCTAACAGTAGTAACCAGATAAAGGGCAGACTCTGCACCTTGGAGCTAGGGTTGCATAGTGTATCAATGTGGTGAGAAAAGCCTGTCTGGAACTCAGGGCAGGAGGACGGAAAGGAAGGAGCAATTGTCTGTTTCCTCACAGTCCAAGCTAGTCTGGGGAGATGTGTGTTGACAGCCAGAGAAGGAAGCTGAAGGATACTGCAAGTTTCCCTCTGGACCACTCTGAGATCATGAGTGCCCATCCAAAGGATGAAGTATCTCACAGAAGGCAGTTGTGGCTGCTTTATCTTTAAAATCCATTATTGCTTGGTGTAAAATGCAGGAGCAGCCCTGGGAGGAGGAATCTCTGGCAGTAAATGTGCAAAGCTTCAAGGACATCTCATAACCTCCCTTGGCATTCTTCTGTACTTGGACACAAGGGAAGGAGGAGCCCTCACAGTGATCACAGCCTCTTGCTCCTGGGATATATGTACCTGAACCTCTGAGGCTGAAGGAGCTGAGATTCATTCCATGTGGGTGAAGCTGCTTTGCTGCTAGGCAGTGTAGCATGCAGGAGGCAGTGGCGGTTCCACCAGCATCTGTCAGGGTTGAGCTTTACCCTGTTCTTCAAGAGGACACACTGACCATGCCTACCTACCAAGGAGAACTCTGGGCTGTATCCCTAGGTTATATAAATGTTCATCTGAAGCTGCATGGGAAGGATGTAGTCTCTCAAGGCTGTGCTGCCCATGACCCCAGTGCTCTTTCCTTCACTGTCTGCTTCTAGGTGTCCTTTGGCTTGTCTGTCTGGGAACTGTGTATGCAAACTGTGCAGAAAGCCAAGTCACCTGACACAAATGTCCCACCTGTGAGCCAGGCACCTTAAACCTAAACCTTAGGCTTACAGGATCTTACATTCCTTATAGGCTCTAGCCTTAAACAGTTGTCTACTTGGAGAGTCAGGAAAATTTGTCCAAATTAGATTTAAAGTAGATTAGTTAAACCATGTTAAAGCCTTGTATTCATGTACTCATTCAGAATTAATGTTATTTCCATTTAGCTTAATTTACCCAGCTAATGAATTAAAGCTTATCAAATTAATTTTACTTTAATTCTGAACAAGAATACCCAGTGTTCGCATAGGGAGTTACACAGCTCTAATAACCTAAATTCCTGTACCTAAATGACACATGAAAACTAGTCTGAAAATTCCTGCACAGAAAAGCCCCCAAATAGTTTGCTATATGCTCTGGGATTTACACAAAACTGAACACCTTTTCTCACTCCTAACATCTTTTATAAACTGGAATTAGAGGCTAACATTGCTCTAGTCTAAGTCACACTCCCAACAGGAGCTGTAGCTGCGTATCTACAAGAATCCCAAAACCAGAAAAGACGGGGGAGAATAAAATGTAGCTGCCACTCAGTACATGCTCTTCAAGCCATCATGGTCCTCAGCATTGCTGT